AATTATTAACAACTCAACCTCCTTCTATCTACAGCTAGAGAATATCGAGCAAGCAAAGAAATATTTTTATAGTGATTTTACAAATACAGTGTAATATATATTGTCAAGAAGCTCCATCCAGATGGGACACCTGTCGATCATCCCTGGACCCCGGGAGGGAGAACCACAGTTGTGAGGGGTTCTCGGAAGCTGATCTGTAAATAAGGAAAACGGGACGCCTCGGTAGCTGGCGCCGCTCATTATTATTATCTTTATCTGGAGATAAGTTGTTTTTATCATCTGACTCTCTCTCTCCCTATAAATACCTCTTGTATATAATTTTATTGGAGAACTAAAAGGTAAATACCCACCTTTATAATAAATTAATTATCCCCAAATTTGCCCTTGCTTTATTTATCTCCGCGACAATATTTTTATAATCTTTTGAATATTTTAATTAAATAATATTGAATAATAAATTATTTCTTCGACACAATATTATAAAAATTGTTGTTTAAAATAAATTTATTTGAAATGTATAAATAAATATATATTAAAACAAAAAAAAGTCATATCCTGACATCTCAAATGAGAATTTTTAGATGACAAAGCGTCATCTAGTGAAACAAAAATCAACTAAGCGTTGATTTAATTGGTTTTATTATATTTGGTCAACTCAATTTTTTTTGATAAATAAAGAAATGCCAACCACATACGGGTTTCGGGCTGTAGTCCCTCGTCAGTGTAGTACAGGCTGTACGACCAACATTTTTTTGGTTTTAAGAAGCTTAATGAGTAATCAAGAAAATGGATTAACAAGTCCAAATTAGCGTAAATACACTGTTCTTGTGAAAAATAAGAAAAAAAAAAGTCAAGTATTGATATTTACAAAAAAAAAAAAAAAGTAATTACTTAACCGCTCTCACACATAAACATTTAAAAAGATTATAACACTTTGAAAGCTTGTTCAAATCTAAAAGCTTGAGGGATGAGTTTCTTTTGCAAATAAATTTATTTCGAGCTTTCGGGCAACGCCCTTCTACAGAAAAATAAAGTAAATTGAATTATATTACACTGAGATTAAGCGAGGCAAATGTATAACAAACTATAGAAAATAAATATCAGAAACAAACACACGTGAGACTACTCGTGCGTCAGATACATATGAATAAATCAATAAACTGAAATTTTGATATTTGTGTGCTAGCTGTGGGTCACAGCTCCCATAGGGAAGAAGCTATGTAACATAGTATTTATCAATTTTATTATTTTTTATTAACAGAGTGGTCATTTTTATTTTTATATCTTGCGACTTTGTAAATTTCCCTCGTGGCTTATCTTTTGTTTACTTTTCTTAGTTTGTCCTTCCCTGAAATAAATTTTGTTTCCTCCTGAAGTTTTTGTCTTCCCTAATTTTCCACGTGGCAATATATATATACATCGAATTTGAATGTCTAAAATATGAACTGATATAGAATCAGACCAAGAATATGGCATGAAAGCTTACCTTTTTTATCAAATTATAAAACTATTTTAGAGGCGTAATATTCTTTTTAAAATAAAACAATTTCTACTGTCCTTACTGCGATGGAAAAATTAAAGGGAGGGCCTGGCTCATCTGTGGTGAACCCTCCCAGCGGTTTCGCCAGTTTAATCTACCATACCGCTGGGAGGGTTCACCACTGATGAGCCAGGCCCTCCCTTTAATTTTTCCATCGCAGTAAGGACAGTAGAAATTATTTTATTTTAAAAAGAATATTACGCCTCTAAAATAGTTTTATAATTTGATAACAGATGGCGCGCTAGTGCATCGTAACATTACCTTTTTTATATTAATGAAGAAATTTATTACAAATATACTTCTTTATGAATAATAGTACAAAAGTAAAATTTGTACTTGGATCAGGTAGATAAATTAAGAAAAAAAAAAAAGGAATTTCCTGATTGTACAACTGAACCAGCCTTTTTGGTAGTTGAGGTACAGCTTGCACCACGCTGACGAGGGCCAACAGCCCGAAACGCGTGCGTGGTTAGCTTTTCTTGATTGATCAGGAAACGGTATTTGGCAATTCTGGAATAATTAAAAAATCAACGATTAGTTGATATTTATTCCGATAGATTGCGCAAGCCATCAGCAACTTTGAACATGGCATCTGCCCGGTAAGCGGAACACTGTGGGTTCGATTCCCATCCCTGGACACTTTTATTTTTATCATTACTCTCTTCACAATTCACCCTTTCATACCTCATCCTAAATGTTAGAACTAATTGTTATTTCTCCTTGGGATAAATTTTGATTTTTCGTTGGAAAGAAACACATGCGGGATGGTTTTCAAATGTCGTTTTACAATCACAAGCCGTATTATATTGTATTATAAAATACGTATTTATATATTGCGAGTTTGAGAATATCCTCATAAACACAAATATTATAATTGTCACACAAATCTATGGATAAACACAAGTTTTTACAAGGAGTAATTAGCTCTTTAAAGAAATATAAATCCTTCCTCTGTTCCTTCCTTTATCTAGAAAATTTAATTTTAGAATTTAGGTGGAAATTTGGGTCGATTGAGAGAACTCTTACATTTCTTAGAAAACCTTTCATAATATGGCATTCCTAGTAACATGGATCAATTAGAGGTTTCCTTGTAATAAGATTACAACGGTTGTTGATAAGTGGTTCCCAAGATTAGAATATCAACGAGTTAATACACTCAGGAATAAAATTTAAGGAAATGGATGGTATTTGAAGTCGCCGGTCGTCTTTTTTTTTTAATAACTAAATAAATATTGATAGAAATTCTGCCGGGAGGCTATTGATCTAAAAAAGACAAAGGTCACCTCTACCGTCAAAATAGACGTAAAAGCTAGACGTCAAAGCTTGATTTTCTATATATAAATAAATGAAAAAACAATAGAAAAAATAAAAGATAAGTGGGTCAGGTGTAGATATTAAAAATAAAGAAGGCATCTCCTGACCACGAGCACATGTGCTTTTTAGAAGGCAGAGGGCCATCTAGTGGAGCAAAAATAAACTAAACGTTTATTTAGCTTGCTCCGTGATATTTGGCCAACCCAATTTCTTGATAAATCAAGAAAAGTCATCCACGAACGCGTTTCGCGCTGTTGGCGTTCGTCAGCGTGGAGTAGACTGTAAACACTGCGACCAAAAATATTTTTGGTCCCAATGGCTTCCCGAGAAATCAAGAAATGGGTATTTGAGGCCAAATTTGCGTAAAGACGCTTAACACATGAAAAAACAAAAAGATAAGTGGGTCAGGTGTTGATATTAAAAAGCACATGTGCTCGTGGTCAGGAGATACCTTCTTTATTTTTAATATAAATAAATGTTTCCACCTAGATACGAACATGGTAAATATCCAATTAGTACATGGAGATATCTCTACAATGTTGATAGATGTTTTCTAAATGGTTATATGGCGTGTAACCTAAACAGAAGGATTAACCTGGCAACACGGAATTATCCTATTTCTATATATTATTGATCTAATGAGAGAAAGTTGATATTTATTGAATAAATTTATTGGAAATTGTAAAGATAGAGGCTGTGCTTGGCCGGCATTCATAGTTCTTAGAATTAATGATATTGTAACAAAGTATTTATTATTTTATTAACAGAGTATTATTTTTTATGTTTATATTTTGCTATACTGTACACTTCCCTCTTTTCCTTATCTTTTGTTTACCATTCATAGTTTGTTCTTGCCTGAAATAAATTGTTGTCTCATCCTGAAGTTTTTGTCTTCCCTAATTTTCCACGTGGAAATATTTCGGCCAGTAAATCTTTTTATTGTCTCTAAATATTTATTATATTATGATGCATTAGCGCGCCATCTGTTATTAAAATTCGAAACTATTATAGACGTGTATAATTCTTTTAAAATTTAGACAATTTCTAGTGTCCTTATTGTAATGGATAAATTAATTTTTGTTAAATTTTTTAAAAAATCATACGCGTCTATAGTAGCTTCGAAATATATATTATCTTTGTAATTTGTTTCTTGAAGTAAACGAAAAAATTGCGCTACAAATTTTAAAATAAAAATACAACCTTTATAATTTGTTTCTGCCGAGGACAAAATAATTTTTGTCGAAACGTTGAGATATTAAAAAGATTTACTGGCCGAAGTATCTTTAAGAAATATATTGGAATACACAGTTAATTGTTTTGAATGACTGCTCGGGATTCATATTTCTAAAAAAATAGACATTTAGGTCAGATAAAGTTTTATTTTTTCAACCTTTTGACAAAAATCTTTTGTTTTTGTCAAGAAGAAAAATATATAAAGCATTTGGCAAGGCGTTAAAAATTAAGAATAATAATTTGTAACGCCTTGCCAAACGCTTTATTTTTTTCTTCTTCTGACGAAGACAGAATATATAATTCTGAATATAAAGCAATCCATAATATATATTTTTAAAAATAGTCCGTGGCTCATCGTGACCTGCTGTATGCTTCATAACAAAAAAACCTCGTAAAAGATGGACGATTGGTCCATCGAAATATTGGATTAATAAAAGAATCTTATTAAAATATAAAATAAGCCTTTTTTTTAAATTAAAGAATATATCATATTGTAGCGTAGAAATCAAGCCTTGAAATATCCTAAGATGTAAAAGTATTTATAAATGACTGCGGCGTATAATTATAAAGCTATACAACCAGTTTCACCGCATAAGTTTCTTTTTATTTATGAAAAATCATTTTATTTTCAAAGAGAAATAATTTAATATTTCTAACTTTTGGATGACGTATGAAAAGGTTGAATATATGAAGAGTGATGGTCTATATATGAATGGATGACGTATGGAGGGTGAAAAATATGAAGAGTAATGGCGAACGGAAAAATAAAAGTGTCCAGTAGCGGGAATCGAACCCACAACCTTCTGCTTACCGGGCAGGTGCCATGTCCACTAGGCTATCCTGGACGATATTTCTCCGTTCGTAACTAATATTTAAACTGACTAACGGAGTTAGTTACGAACGGAGAAATTCGTCCAGGATAGCCTAGTGGACATAAAACCTGCCCGGTAAGCAGAAGGTTGTGGGTTCGATTCCCGCTCCTGGACACTTTTATTTTTCCGTTCGCCATTACTCTTCATATTTTTCACCCTCCATACGTCATCCATTCATATATAGACCATCACTCTTCATATATTCAACCTTTTCATACGTCATCCAAAAGTTAGAAATATTAAATTATTTCTCTTTGAAATTAAAAATGATTTTTCATAAATAAAAAGAAACTTATGCGGTTAAACTGGTTGTATAGCTTTATAAAAGTATTTATTGATGACGTCACCGCGACGAGTCGACAATTATTAACAAGTCAGCAAAACAATCTACAGCTAGGGAATCTTAAGCAAGCAAGCAAAGAAATGTTTCAAAGATGATTTTACAAATACAGAGTAATATATATTTTTTTATAATATGTTGAATATTTTCATTGAATAATATTAAATTGAATTTTAAATTATTCTTCGCCACAATATAAAATATAATAAATTTCGAAACAGTGTTTTAAAATATTTCCTATATTTAAAGTATTAAAATATACCAGACGACATTTCTACATCGTACATTATATGCAAAAAAGAATTATCCACAATTTATTCTTCTGGTAATTTTAATTCTGGAGGCGATTAGAAAAAAAAAGCAGAAGAAAAAAAAATGGCGCTGAAAATTGAGACGATGACGTAGACGGAATGACAATTAACTTCCAAATTATTAATGAGATATAATTAGAAGTCAAAAGATAATTTTAATTCCCATTTTTAACAATCCCAAGATATATAGAAAACAGTATAAAACTGAATAAATTTATTTATTTTTCTCACTAACATATTACATTTTAGAAAACGGAAATAAATAAAATTTTATCTATTGAATAGAAAAAAATAGCTAGTTTATTTATTATTCCCAACTGTTGCCAGATAATTACTTTAAATTATGTTAATCACTGATTATTTTTTTACCTATGGAATTTATACTTGAATATTAAAACGTATGTGCATATATAATTGAAGGCTATATATATATATTGCAAAAAGCATAAGACGTCGTAACTCTTTTTTTATTATTTATTGTATAAAGTAGCTTTCGGGCAAGCTCTTTCTCAGTAAACTAAAGCATATGCAAAAAGGTAATAGACATGGTTGCAGCTGTCAACAACCAGGATGCCAAGTGAAATGATATAGATTTCTCTTTCACCTTTTTTTTTTGTCGAAATCCGCAAACCCATGATAATGACTATATATATGTACCAAAAGTGGCACCTCTCCCTTTAAAAATACATTAAAACAATGTCTTTGGTTTATCATTCCAGTACAGAACGTTGGTGATAAATAGTAAACCACAACACTAATATTGACAAATTCAGACAAAAAGACAACATCCTGTGGCTTCGGCCTTCATCAGTACAGCGGCGGCGCTCTCCATTTCTTTTGTAATTTTCTTCGGAAGTTTAAAAAATAAACAAAAAGTAAACTTTCTGATAGATAATTAAATTACGAGTTTAATAAGTCTATATATGTATATATGTTATATATATATATTAAAAATAAAGAAGGCATCTCCTGACCACGAGCACATGTGCTTTTTAGATGGCAGAGCGCCATCTAGTGGAGCAAAAATAAACTAAACGTTTATTTAGCTTGCTCCGTGATATTTGGCCAACCCAATTTCTTGATAAATCAAGAAAAGCCATCCACGAATATATATATGTGTATATATATTCGAATATATAAATATATATATATATATGTCATAATTTGTATATAATTAAATGCAACCCCGACCCACTATGTATGTACCATGTATGATTTTCAAAGACTTAATAAAGAACAAGGTAACTGGAGGAAAGCAAGTAGCAATAAGACATAGGAAGTAGGCCTAAAGCTGGCACGACTATTCTTGGCACCCCTGTGTCAATATTGCAGGGGCAGAGACCGGTCGTCTCTAGTGACCGCAGAAGTTATATTAGTCAAGAAGCATTCAATACTTCCTCACAAAGCAGGATGTATCTGGTGACCAGAAGTTATAAATGTTAAGCTAACACCCAATATTTCCGGCAAAGACAGGACGTATCTAATATCCGTCGAAGTTATAAGCGTCAAGCTACCCAACACTTCCTGACGAAATCGGATATATCTTCCGACAAAAGCAACCCCAAAGGAAACCGCCGGCCAATCAGAAGACAGCACCTAAATAGGTCGACCAATAGGAAAAGATCATGTGATCATCTCTCAACCAATCAGAGAGAAACTGAGTCTTGGTGTTAAATCGAAAAGCAAGAATAGGCAGTTGTTCACTCGCTCTCGCCGAGTTCGGACCTAGTAGTGTTTTAGCTCTCATAGGAACAACACCTACAGTTGTTCACGCGCTCTCGCGGAGTTCGGACCTAGTAGTGATTTCGCTCTCAACAAGGTAACATCTACTCCCGAGACCTCTCTCCCTCTGCTCATCCCACAGCTAAGTTCAATCACCGCCATGTGATCAGATAATTAACAATCCAAATCGCTCCGCTCTTCTCAAGCTTTCTTTCCTCCAATCCAGTTGCCTTTCATTTTCAAACCCCATCACGTGTCCTGATTATTCCTAACTGTATGCTGCAACTTCCACTCAAACGACTGCGCTTCAATCAACGACGGAAACAACAACGGAAGGGAGGCAGGAAGTAAGAGAGACGGGCGAGACAACTGCGCCCCTAGCGGACGCCGTCAATCAACTATCGGCGCTCCTGACCCGGGTAAAAATTTCTGATGGAGCGGAGTCGGCAATCCCGCCTTTCGATGGCACATACAACGCGACACAGTTTTTCCAAGCATTCGACCGAAAAATGGAAGACGCATCCATGGGAGAACAAGAAAAATTACTCCGCCTGCCAAACTATCTGGCGCGACAACCCCTGGAGCTCTTCAGGAAACTTCGGCTGGCCGACCGGAGTTATTTCCAGGTGAGACAAATCCTCCTAGATCTCTATCCTGAGTCAAGCGAAGCGTCCTTTGCGAAATATTTCGCCATGAAGCTTACTGGGCAAGCCAACCTAGAGACCTATTACCGGGAGAAAACCGCCATGGGATTGCAACTAGGACTTCCACAAGAGGTGATCCTCGAGACGCTGACAGAAGGACTGCCATTCAACGACCAGCGCCTAGTCCGCGTAGTACCTCCCGAGAACCTAGGAGAATGGTTCCGACTGGTACAGCGGATCCACGGGCCCAGTGTACCGACAACGCGACCCAGAGAAGATCAACCACCCACAATGTCGGGTCCGTACCACAGCACACCCCGACGCCCAGGTGCATGGAATGCACCTCTTCCACCGTCCAACTGCAAGTTCTGCGGCGCGAGACACTGGCACAGCGAATGCCGACGTCGACCAGTCCCGACGACCCACGAAAAAGTCCGGACAGTGCAAACGGTCCCAAAATCACCAGTTCCGATTCCACAACAACCAAGTCAAGACAGAGACACCCCAGCCGAGCAGCCCTTTCGAGACTGAGGTAGGCTCCCTAAACCAACTGACTGTCAAACTTTTTCTAGCCCCTAATGTATCATGCCCCTTTTTAATTGATACAGGCGCCAGCCTGAGTATAGTGCCATATAATATTTATCATATGCTAAAAACCCACCTGCCTAATTTAACCCTTGAGGGACATTCACTACACCTCCAAACCCTAAACGGATTTGCAAAAACCATGGGTAAACTATCTATCCCACTGACAATAGGACAAATATCACGAAAGGAGAATTTCCATGTAGTGAATGCACCATTGCCATTTGGAATTCTTAGTATCAATAGCCTCCATAAATTCAGATTAACCATAGATTTTAATAAATGCACTATATTCCAGCTGGGCGCCCCATTGTCTACCCTTTCCTACCATTTTAATCATGTGTCCAATGTATGCACGTACTGGCAGTGTCAGGCGATGTCACAAAAAATTTTCCCCGCATCCCAACTTTCCGCCTATGACAACCATTGCGTGCATTCATTGAAAAAAACCCACTTATCTACATGCCCCTTTTTCACTAAAGCCAATTGCCTTTTTTACATGCCCTCAAATAATCAAACCACAACAACTTCAACTTATGAACCTGCCCAAAACGCACCCACACAGCGGGATAACTCGCATACCAAAAACATAGGTGATCACACACCGTTGCACAACTCTCACATGACCAACCCACACAACGAACTCGACACTCACACTAATACACAACAAAACCCTTTACCCCATGCATACTACAACACAACACCTAACACTCATTATACACCACAGTTCACAACACTTCTACAAAGGTACACTCACATTTTTTCACAGGACAAATTCAACGTACCATGCTTACGGATTCCACCAGTAAAAATACCCACGAATTCCGAAAAAATAATCACCATACGTCCATATCGTGTTCCGATATGTGACCAACAAGAAATTCCGCAACGATATTGTCACAGAACGGTTAAGTCGACAGGATAAAAATATTATGGAACTTAATCAGGATCCCATAGGCGTAAAGTCGGACGGCCCGACGGAAACAACAACGGAAGGGAGGCAGGAAGTAAGAGAGACGGGCGAGACAACTGCGCCCCTAGCGGACGCCGTCAATCAACTATCGGCGCTCCTGACCCGGGTAAAAATTTCTGATGGAGCGGTGTCGGCAATCCCGCCTTTCGATGGCACATACAACGCGACACAGTTTTTCCAAGCATTCGACCGAAAAATGGAAGACGCATCCATGGGAGAACAAGAAAAATTACTCCGCCTGCCAAACTATCTGGCGCGACAACCCCTGGAGCTCTTCAGGAAACTTCGGCTGGCCGACCGGAGTTATTTCCAGGTGAGACAAATCCTCCTAGATCTCTATCCTGAGTCAAGCGAAGCGTCCTTTGCGAAATATTTCGCCATGAAGCTTACTGGGCAAGCCAACCTAGAGACCTATTACCGGGAGAAAACGGCCATGGGATTGCAACTAGGACTTCCACAAGAGGTCATCCTCGAGACGCTGACAGAAGGACTGCCATTCAACGACCAGCGCCTAGTCCGCGTAGTACCTCCCGAGAACC